ACGACAGACACAGAGACGACAGACACAGAGACGACAGACACAGAGACAGTTAAGAACCCTTGTGTCATAGAGATCAGGAGGAAAATATTAACAATTTTTATACTACCGTAGCCACTTGCCAGTCATCAGTCGCAAGGCGAACTTCAGCCCTTTCTGTGAGGACGGCGTAGAACCAAACGGAGTCCAGGTTGGCTGGATAGCCTTGCTGCTCACGTTGCTCCTCCTGGGGACCATGATGGATAAGGAAGAAATCTCTACATAAGAAGTGACGCAAGCTAAAGAACAAACTATCTGAGCCGTACAAAAGGATCTCTCACCTTGGATAAGAGCACTCAATTAAAATCACAGCTGGACTGTTTCGTAGAATAACAGAGTTGTCAACAGGAGTTGGGTTATAATATAGATTTATGCCATAAACCAGCAAGTCTGTGGTCACCTGAAAATGGTCAAAACTAGAGTATGATTCCCTAAAAAAAAATTCCCTGGAAATATCTGTTACTTCATCATGGTTTATATATTCACTAGTACAAGATTTCCTACTAATCTTCCAACAGGTTGGACAACCAACTTATCTGTCCAGATATTTCTAATGGTGTACCTATAAATCCAGGACTGGTCCTCTTCCACCCCAGTTATCCAATATTCTTCAGGGCCACTTATTCCTAGTCACTTGACATCCAGGATCCTAAGCCTTACAGTGAGCGAGTTGTGTGAATAATCCAAGAAATACAGCAAACACTACCCACTTTGTTAGGGTAGAATCAATTTTAGAGCTGATAGGACCTTAACAAGAACATCTAATACAAACTCTTTATTTTACAGATAAGAAACCATTTTGTCCAAAGCCACACAGCTAACCAACGTAAGGGTTGGTGTTAGAGCTGAGTTCTACTAAAACTTAGATGCTTTCCGCTGAGTCATTTATAAAGCAGTAAGCACAGTACCCGGAATGCAATAGGCATTCTATAAATACTTATACCCTTCCTTCCATTCCTCCACTCTAAACTGTGCACGTCAATACTAAGAGAAGAGGACCTTATCTAGTATTCCTTCATATTTCCCTACATTTTTGAGGCAGAAACTGAATTCCAAGTTAATATCAACAGGTTTCATGCATTTCACAGAAATCCTAAGTCTCAAGATAAAATTAAGCAGGAAAATCACATGGACTTAGAGAGCAGTTCTTCCCCACCCCACCCCATGCCATCCCAGGAAGACAGAACCATGAGATATGTCAGTCAGTGGTTATCTAAGGACCTCACAATCATTTAGGAATCATCCTGTAGCCACTGATCCCAAGATCTATTCTGGACAAAATGAGATTGAGGAGTCCTACTACAGTGCTCCCGCAAAAATGCTAAAAAACTGTACCTGAAGCTTACTGCCACACTCATGGAGCCCTGCCTCGAAGACAATAGTATCATTTGATTCATGGAAGGCAGTATATTGGCAGGCACCTGGTCCAAGAGTTAAGTCTGAAGGATTGATCAAGTTTCCCTTCCCAAAGAGGTCTCTCTGAATGTTTGCCACCAACTTCGTTTCTAGACATTGGACCCTCACAGGCAAAAACTGAGCTCGAGATCTGCGGCCCCATGAAGAACGGATAGGAGAAGATTTATAATCTGGTCTTAGGAGAATCACTGTCTCTAAGAAAGGATCTGGAACTAGAAGAGCTACAAAGATCAACAGACACCAACTCACTAGAAACCAAAAGAAGGAACAGGCAACCTACCTGACCTCCTTGCCCCATCCTGCCTATTCCGTACAATCACTGCTTAATTGCCTAGAGTTTGGGATCTTTATATCTTCAGAAACAATTAGCAGCTCTTTTGATCTCTGAAGTCAGGTTGGGAGTGAGGGAAATGGCCAGGATTTGCTACACCTGTCGGGTTTCTCAGAAACACTTCCAGTTGGGAGGATGTTGATGCTCGAAAATGTTTCATTTTGGATAATAAGGGGAATGCTGTGTTCCTTTTGAGAGACTGTTGACATCCTGAAGTATTTTGTGGTTGTCTTGGGTTCAAGGCAAATTTTCAGTTAATTAACTCACAACCTTATGTTGATGAGTAGTTTGATTAAATGATGTTTTCAATCAGTCACAAGTTTAGTTGGAGTCACTCTTGTTTTAATAAACTTCCTAGACAGATGTGCTCACTTTTTTCAACCTGACTGTAAAGTCATAAGGGTGAGAGAGGTTGTTTGTAAACATTCACAAATCAAGAAAGGGCTGGACATGCAGGTTAACATTACAATAGGCCACAAGAGATCTTCTTGTCATAACTGTAAGGGGTTGCTATTTGCTGGCAAAAAGGAAGCAGAGTGGTGTAATGGAAAACATGCTGGGTTTAAAGTCAAATGATATGAGTTCAAATCCCAGTTCTTCCATTTATTATTTGTATAACCTTAGGCAAACCACCCCTTCTCTAATCTCATTTTCTTTATATAAAATGTATGTTTTGTGGGAGAGGGATGATTCAACCAGATGCCCTGTGAGGTCCTTTCTAATCCTAGGTCTATGATCATATATTTAAGATGTGTGACACTGGAAAAGAATATTGTCTAAAGGTCACTAAATTTGGGAGTCCAAAGGTATGGAAATCTCTGATGTTATGGAGATGAAACTTTGACCTTCCTAGGCTTTGTTGTTTGTGTTCATTTTCTGATCCCTATATTAGGTCAAATTTATGATCCTATGTTTTTATAGGATCAAAGTTATAGAGGAGAAATGGATCTTAGATGAATCAATCAATAAATAAAATTTTATTAAGGGCCTACAGTGTGCCAGCTACCTCATTTTACAGGTGAGGAAACTAAGTCATAGTAAGGTTAAGTTATCTGCTCAAGGTCACATATAGTAAATGGCAGAATTAGGATTCAATCACAGGTTTTCTGGCTCCAGCTCCAAACTTTCCACAATAAAATTCTATCTCTTTTTCCCTGAGCTTCAATCTCCTATCACTTGCTTCTTCAACTTCCTATACTTCACCACTTCCTCATTCCCTATTATCTTCTGTTCATCTGTTCCCTCTTTTCTTTCATCCTCTTACTTGGGGTTCAGTTGGTTTGGGTTCAGGTTCTCTATCCAAGCTCCAACAAAGTTAATTGGAGCATCTTTTTTTGTGGTAGGATAGATAGAAGCACAATCAGTATAGAACTGTTGTACAAGTGCCAAAATTTATTGTAACCTAGGAATATTTTAAAATCCCAAGTCCTATTAGTTCCAGGAAAAAGGGATTTTTGGACACCATGAATGTAAAGATGTCTAAAAGGCATGCCTAACTGATTCAGAAATTCAGTGCTTACCCCAGAAACTCAAAAATGGGCATAGATATTACTGAACGTTAGAGCAAGAAAGAACCCTAGAAATCATCTAGTCTAATCCCCTCATTCATCAAATGAGGAAAATGGGGTCTGGAGAAGTAAAGTGAGGTAGTTATGTTGATTTCCACCTTCTTATCTATCAAAGAACACAATTTTAACAGTTCAGTGGTTCTAATAAAGATCTAAGGGACTGTAAATAACATGAACACCAGTCATAACATCACCATGTTCTTTATACCATCCAATTCTGAACGTGAGTGATTTGATAATTCCAAGAACTAATCTGGCCATTTTGAGTCTTGGACTGTTCTGAAATATCTCTTCAAAAAATTCATTGGAACAATCCCAGTTTAGATTTCCTCTAAGAATGGGCTGGAATTGAATTGGCCTTTATGAGGTAGTAAATCAAGGGTATTTTTTCAGGATATTTATCCTGCCATTTATTTATCAGCAAATTATAGAAAAGGAAAGGACATTAGAGTTTCTCTAGTCCAACCGCATAACTGAACCATGATTTTACTCAACATTTCCAATGAAAGACCACCTAACCCTTGGAGATAGCATGGTATCATGGACAGAGTGTTACAATTGGGGTCTGAAGGACCTTGGTTCAAATTTTGCCTTAGATACTTCCTAGCTAAAAGTTATTTAACCTCTCTAAGCCTCATTTACCTCATATGTAGTATGGAGTTGGAAAGAGGTTGTACTAGGTAGCCTCTAAGGTCTCTTCCATTTCTCAATATGTGATCTTTTGTTGTAAGGCCTCCAATGATAGGGAATCTCACTAGCTCCTGAGAAAGTCCATTTCCAGACAGTTCTAGGTGTTAGGAAGCCTTTCCTTGTATTGAAGCAAAATCTATTTCCCCCTCACAACTGATATTCTTACAGCATAGTTTCAAGTCCTTTGAAAATATTTATTGCTTTCCTTTGGACATACTCCAACTTGTCAATGTACTTTCTAAAATGTCACACTTCAAACTAGATAAAATCACCTCTATTGTTCTGGCCTTTATACTTCCATGAAATTAGCTTAAGAGAGCATTAACATTTTAAGCTATCATATCACTTTATTGTCTCATAGATGATTTTGCAGCCCAATAAAAAATTCTCTAACTTCTTTTCCCCCCACAATAACTGTTTTCTGTCCATATCTCCTCTATTTAATACATGGGAAACTGATTTTTTTCTTAAACCCAAATATAAACAACATTTTTTCCCATTAAAATTCATCTTATCAAGCATAGGCCATATTTGTAGTCTTTCATATCTTCAGCTGACCTTTCCATTTGTCACCCAAGAATTTGATAAGTACACTAATTATGCCCTAATCCAAGTGACTGATCAAAATTTTTTTTTAACATACTTGAGCCTATGACAAATGTCTATGGCATCTCACAGGCGATACCCTACCTTCCAGATTGAAATTGATGGAGTTATAAACCCCCCTTGGATTTGATCATTGAAAAAGCTTAAATCCAACTAATAAAGTTTTTGATATTTTCCCTGGAACTCAGTGTAAGAAACACTAGTCTCACCTTGAAAATGAAAGACTGAGATAGAGAAATATCAGAGGAGATGATCAGGATCAATCCTTGTGTCATCAGTTGAATGAGAATGATAACTGGAACTCCCTAGGTCCTAAATGTAATGTTCAGGGGGTGGAATGTTGCTACCTCTCTTGTCAAACATAGTCATATGTTTGTGTACATAACAGACATGAATCTAATGCCTGTGATATCCCCAGGAATTCTACAACACCTATGCCAGAATGAAAGGGAAAAAAGGAGAATGATATTCAGCGTTGCACAAAGGCATTTTTCCTTTACTGAGAAATTGAATGTTGGTTCTTGCTTTCCTGGTTCATCAAATAACACCATTTTAACAGTCCATCAAGTCTAATCAAAGAATGTTGTTTGGCTTATGAAAATTATTCCTACAGCTAGGAATACTATGCCAAAAGCAATAAGCCATTTGTGTCATAGGCTTGCCATTGTAGATCTCTCTTTCTATCTGAGCAAAATTGACTCATGTTTCAAGGAGACATTCTCCTCATGCATCATTTGGAGAAATGTGGGGGGAATCTGGTGACAGCTGAGGGAATAATCTTAATAACTTTATGTTAAGTGGCATAATATTACATGAAAATGTTTTGAAACATTAAAGTGCTATACACATGATTATTAACACTAATAATCATAATCATCATTATATGCATGAGGAAAATCCAAGCAAACACCAAGGGCAAAGATACCCTTCCAAGTTAATAATTTTCTCCATTTTCCAGAGTTGTATGATAGATTATTATTTTGCATCCCCCTCCCATCACCTTTCCCAAAGAAAATTGAATTGTAACAGAGGAGGGGGGCAGTCATCATCTAAAGAGAGGTCATATTAGAATAATGAAAGCTCATTTTTGCACAATGCTTCAAGGTTTATAGAATGCTTTTCTCACAACCATGCTATTCGGAAAGTAGTAAAGATATTATCCCAAGGCTGTGAATGAAGAAACTGAGTCAGAGAGACAAATCTCAGATTAACTTTTCTAGAGTCACATAGCTCAAACTCAGGTCTTGTGACTGAGTCAAGTGTTTGCATTTTTATACCATAGAGTGTCTGAAGCTGGAATCATTGGAGTAGATAACATTTTCAATGTGGAGTTGTAAAAATAGAAAATGAGAGGAACAAGAATAATATGATAGGGAATACTTAAATTTGCTGGCAGGAGAAAGAGGAAGTATTGAGAGAATGGGAATAATGTGAAGAGGGGAGAATCAAGATAATGTGTCACAAAAGCTAAGAGAAGAAAGCAAGGAGAGGAAATACCAGGTAGGCACCATGAAGGCAGAGACTGTGTCTTTTTTTAAGTTTCTATCACCAGCAACTAGAATGTTGCTTTGAACACAGTATACATTGGATTGATGTTCGTTGTTGTTGTTTGTCCTTCATTCTCAAAGAGGACCATAACATCAGGAAGGTGATGCCTTGAGTCACAAGTGAATTGGATTGAAGTGAGGGAGGGCTGTGCAAAGTCACCAGCCTCACTTTCTTCTCCAGAGCCATCTGGGCCCAGTGGCAAAACATAGTTCCCAATGACTAGAGATGGCCCCCATACACTGGATAAATCTTTACTGAATGTATTTAATTGAATGGAATGAACAAGAATGTCAAATGCTATAGAAAATAGCATTTTTCTATAGAGGAGAATAGAGATTAAGGAAGTCACTAGACTGGCAATTAGGAGGCCATTGGTAACATTCATAGAAATAGTTTTATTAAAACAATAAAGGTATGATCAGTCTTTCAAGGGGTTATTGAGTAGATGGATAATAAGGAAGTGGAGGAAAAACCATAAGGTGCTCAATCGCAAAATTTTATGATGAAGAAAGAAAGAGCTAGGGTGGTAACTTGAAGAGATGACAAAGTCAGAGG